GACCTCCACTTAAAATACCACAAAATATTTCCGTCATCATTGAGAGTCCATATCCCTTATAACCACCTTTTTTTTGTTTAAATTAGTTTATTTTTAATTAATATAAAAATATATAATTTTAAATTATAATTAAATTGCACAAATTATCCTGTAATCCTTATCTATTGCAAAATTGAGATCATTTTCAAAATATGGCATATTTGCGAGATATTGCCATTTATACATTGTCTAAAGATATACAGTAATTAGAATAGCATAAACACTGTTTCCCTATAAGTCCTAAAACAGATTTTATATAATTTAACAACATGATTTTATCAGAAAGTTAAAATGGAATTGATTAAGTATAATTTTATACAGAATTAAATTTAATTATTTATTATTTAATTTCTATGTTACAATACTGCATTTAGTGCTTTTTGATTATAAGTTCGACAATTTTATTAATGACCCTGAAAATAAAGCGTTTACACTTAATGAGATTAAATGAGATTAAAATTGTCAATCATTTGATATGAGCAAAATTTCTGAAAATTGCTAATTTTAACTAGTTTAAGAAGTGCCAATTAACGGTCAATAAAATTAAATTTCAAAATACTGATAAATTGAGGATGGGTGTATGCGTGGGATATTATGGCATTTATATGGTTGTACTTTACTTGAATTTTCTTCCCCTCCTAAGGGTAACAAAGCGTGAAAATTAGAAAAATGTTTGAGAGGACGACCACTTTGGTCAATAGCCCAGCCCTCTGTAATTTGTTCATGTTTGCGATCGGCTATTTCCAATTTGCCCTTGGCCACTGCCGTTGTGGCCATGTCCAACACAAAACTATCGCCATTAAGACCGGGCGCTGCCAATGAGATGGGATTTGTTCCTATCGATGGGTTCTGAGCCCGAGTGGCCACCACTATAGGGGTTGCATTTGTAAACGACATTCCCTTTTCATAAACACATTACATATTTAAATTCCAACATTCAATTAGCATCGGTGTTGTTAAGAGTTAACACTTCAATCGATGGCATACCAGCAAATTGTGCTCCAAAGCCATCAAACTGTAATATCCCGCAATACCGTAATGATTGCTACCTATATTTCCAATGTGTTCATTATAATCATATTAATCATAATACAGTATATTTAATTTGAGTTATTATTGTAAATATAACAAACCCTTGACTGTTACGAATCCTATACCAACTTGCTTTGCCTTTTTGATGGCTAACTCCATACAAAACATGCCAACCACTGGACCCAATAAGTTATTCCCGTCCACCCAAGCCGTCGACGCGCTCTCATTCAAGATAATGGGCTCNTGAGTTATTATTGTAAATATAACAAACCCTTGACTGTTACGAATCCTATACCAACTTGCTTTGCCTTTTTGATGGCTAACTCCATACAAAACATGCCAACCACTGGACCCAATAAGTTATTCCCGTCCACCCAAGCCGTCGACGCGCTCTCATTCAAGATAATGGGCTCTCCATTAGCCAAAGCAATCTTATTCTCAATTTCATGAATATATAGGTCTAAAAAATAGTATTATATTTATTAACTTTTAAATGGTACCCATGGCTGTTGTTGTACTAATTGCGGGGTTTCACTGCCGATCCGTCATAGGATTAACATGGTGGGGTTTCAATGCCGATTCCCCTATGTATTTCCTATGGGATGCGAGTTCTGGTGCCCACCACTATACTTACTATGCTTTTCTACTGAGTTCGTATTCACACGTTATTATATGTTTTACTAATTTTATTTTTAAACTAATAATTCATACACGCAAATAATGTTTAAATATTTTATTAAAAATAATAACCTTTTTTAACCCGTCTACCATCAATTGTAGAATAATATCCTGGAAAATTATCAATTGGTTCATATTTATGAGTCACTTTAACATGCTGAGTTATTGCATCGACATTGTATTCGTAATGTTTTAGACAAAACCGACAAACATATCTAATAGGTTTAACAATGGCCACTTTTTTCCCACCAACTCCGGTCGTTAATTTGTCCTGTTCCATATCTAAAATAAATATATAAATATTTTATTTAATTATTTATCAATAATTAATTTTTATAATTTTTATTTCTCTCTCACTCACTAGCAAAATAATTTAAAACAAATTTAGTTATAAATAATTAAATTTATGAAAATATTGTTATAATTTTAATATTTTTTGTCTCTGTATTGGTCTTTCTTCAACGGTTGAGTAATATTTAGGAAATATATTAGGTGGTTCTAATCTATGGACAATTTCAACATGTTTAATTATTTTATCAACATTGTATTCTCCATAGCGGCGACAAAATCGACATATATAATAAATTGGCAACACAATAGCCACATTCTTGCGATCATAAATAGTTTTAAATGGTCGAAATTTATAAATTTCCATATCTATAATATATAAAGAAAGTTCTATTAATAATATTAATTTTCATTAATTTAAGTAAATTGAAATAATTTTATTTAAATAATTATAATTTTATTTTAAATATTATAAAATTAATAGTACAATTTCAAACATTTTATAAATATTTAAGTTTGAGTCATACAATTTATCTCAGACCAAACTTTTAATGCCATTAAAATATTTTCAAGATTAGAGATATTTTCTAAATCATATCCATATTCCACGAACAATTCTTTGATATTATTTTTGTGTTCAATTGCCAACGCGATCACTTTTGGTTTGGATTCTTTATGTTCGGAAACAATTTGCTCGAAAACTTTTTCAAATTCAACTGTTAAAACATTTCGAATACTTTCTTGGATTACTTGATTTTTATATAAAGAACTCAAAGTGATTTCACTTTCAAAACCCTCCATCGTTACTAAAACACAAGTGTGTTTTAAAAGTAAATACACAATAAGTTATATAATATTTTATTACGTTATACCTTGTTTTTTGTTTTTTGTAATTAATTCTTTACACTCTTTTGCAATAAATTCAGCTTTTATTTTGGCACAAATTGGGATGTCATAATTTTTTAGTATATGATGTAAATCACAAATTGAATAATAATTTGGATTATTTTTCATAAATAATCTTAAGTCATTATTTGAAGGACATAATTTATTATTCTTTTCAAATATATTCAATGAATCTAATTCAATGACATATTTTCCAAGGTTAGCTTTATATAATAAACTAGAAATATTCTCATCACGACAAATGGCAATATAATTTGCATTAATATTATCACATTTTGTTATATGATATAATGTTTTAAGGACAGAAACAACATCACTAGACGGAAGAGCTAATTCACAATTTTTATTAATTTTAATCCCATGAATATAATCTTCAAGATAATTAATAGTTTTAATATTAGATTCATCAATTGAATTCTTATTTATTTTACAATTAAAAGGTATAATACCACTTTTATCTGGACTCCAAAATCCAAGTTCTCTCACAATAAATTGAAAATTTAATGAGTATCCTTGAGCACATAATATTAGTCTTATTTCATTGAAGTTGGCTTTATACACAGCCATTATTAACTATAAGTTTAGTGTGTACAGTGACAAATTTAAATACAGTGACAATGAGTGAGATATATGATTTAACAATAGTACATCCATCTAGGTTTATAATTTGTGGTCCTTCTGGTTCTGGAAAGTCAACATTTGTTCAAAAACTCTTATTGTATATGAAAGAAATGTTTGGCTTTTATTTTGATAAAGTTATATATAGCTGTGGTAGTACATTTCCAATAAGTGATAAGATACATGGTATTACAATTAAAAAATATAAAAATATTGATAAAAATATATATAAAGATTTAAATTCAAAAAAACGTAATTTATTAATATTTGATGATAATATGCATTTAGCAATTAATGATTTGTTTATCAGTGACTTATTTACCAAATATAGTCATCACAACAACACAACAGTTATATTATTATTACAAAATTTATTTCCAAAAAGCAAGTATATAAGAGACATTTCAGGAAATGCTACGTATATTGTATTAATGTCAAATCCTAGAGAAACTAGACCTATTAAAACTTTAAGTTCACAAATAGATGGCTCCAATAGTCAATTTATTTATGAATGTTTCAAAGATTCAACATATGATAAACCGTTTAGTTATTTATTTCTTGATTTTCATCAAAATACTCCAAATGTATTGAGAGTCAGGACAAATGTATTCCCAGACGAAGAGTCAAAAATTGTCTATGTCAAAAAAGCTGAAGTTTAAAAATATTTTAAAGTGCTCAAAACATTTACACGAATTATCAAAAGTAAAAAATGCAACGAAACGCAAACGTTTGATAACAAGTGCTGAGAATTGTATAATTAATGCAATATCTGAAATTGCTAAAAATTGTTTATCTGGTAATATACCTTTAAATAAATGTGAATTTAATAAATTATCAAAATACCAAAATCAATTGCGATCTATTGCAAAACGATCAACTATATCTAAAAGGAAAGACATTCTCAACCAATCAGGAGGAATATTACCATTACTCCTCCCTCCGGCACTGTCATTATTAGCAACTGTAGTGGGGTCTGCCATAAATAAAGCGATAAAATGAGTTCATTTAAAAAAATGAAACTAGTTAATATAACCGACAACACCTCTACCAATGATGTATTTACGAATGACGCTATAACTAAAAGTTCTGATTTTGACACTGAAATAAAAAACGTTTTAAATATGAACGACAATGATTTGAATAAAATAAAATTATATAAAACTATAATCAACAAGTATAACAAAAAGAATTTAAATTCTAAACAAAATACATCGATAATTAATGTTTGTCGCAAAGATTTAACACCAAAAAAATTAGCTGTAAACGACATCAAATGGGTACCTTATTAGATATATATAATTTATTAAAACAATATTATTATGAACCAAATGAGTTTTCAAGCTTTCAAAGTTCAAATGTTTTATATAAAAGATTGAAAAGAACTTTTCCTACAATTAAAAAGAAAACCGTTGACAATTGGTTAAATAAACAACCAACACATTATGTACACCAACCTATTAAACATAAAATCACTCGGAATCGAATTATATCTAAAACCATTGATCATATATGGAATGCCGATTTAATAGAAATAACTAAACCTCTTGAAAATGAAAATAATAGATTTGTATTAACTGTTATCGATAATTTATCAAAATATGCATGGACAAAATTGTTGAAAAATAAGACTAAAGAGTCTGTTTACATTGCATTTAAAGATATCATTGAATCAAGTGAAAGAAAACCACATATTTTAGGGACTGACGAAGGCCCTGAATTTACTAATCGTTTATTTCAAGCATATTTAAAAGATAATAATATACATCATTATATTGCAAGAGAATATTTTAAAGCATCAATAGTTGAAAGATTTAATCAAACTCTCAAACAACGTTTACACAAATATATGCATTATAAAAATACAAATAAATTTGTAGATATAATAGATGAAATTGTAAATTCATATAATCATTCAATTCACAGTAGAACTAAATTCAAACCAATTGATGTAAATAAAACTAATGAATTAATTGTATATAGAAATCTATTTAAAAGTAAAACACCAGTTGAAAATACTCATTTAAATGTTGGGGACAAAGTATTAATTCATCAAGAAAGAGACACTTTTTCTAAAGCTTATTCACATAAATGGCAAAATAAAATATATAATATTTCTAAAATATTGAATTCATCTCCTTATTATAAATATGTGTTAATTGATTCTAATTCAAAACCACTTGTAAAATCATTTTATAAAAGTGAATTATTAAAAATTAACAATGAATAACGAAGACAATGAGTCGTTTATTTTGATCTTATCATCGGATTCGAATTTGGACACAGAACCTGACAATAGAGCCGATAAATTCGTTGTACAATACGAAAAGCCAATTAATTTAACATCAATGTATGAATGTGCTTTAATTGATATAATAATTCCTAAACCGTTGTTCTCATTTCCTAAAACAAGTTTCAGTCTAGTCTATTGCTTAATAAATTTTAAAGATTATAATATTTCATCATGGAATTTTGATGACCATATTTTACAAACTTTTGAGTTCAATGCAGCTATATATGACCATGTGCAAAATTATATTTTAAAATTTTATGAATTTTATAAAGAAACAATGCCAACAATTAGAAGTAATGATATTTTAGCAAAAATACACGGAGCAAATTACTTTGTAGGTAAAAAAAATACAGCTAGGCAATATAAATTGCCTTCCATGTGGTATGACCAAGCAAAAAATTTATTTTATTTATCAAAAGGATGGCTTTGTGTTGACGGTGATCCAACAAAAGGTGTCATATTATTTTTAAATTTTGATACATTTTTACATAAAATATTAAATATCGATAATCCAACTTTAAACAATATACTGTTTAAATATGATTTATCAATTGTAACGAGTTTTACTGATCACCAATATGGTAACCAAATGCTTAAAATTATTGACAACAAATATTTTGTGCCTGACTTTTATATGATGTCAACACATAGAAATAAATTAACTCTTTTTGTTAGTAAACCAATTTCTAAGTATACCGTTAAAGAAAGTAAAATAGATTTTTTTGTTATATGTGATTTAATTAATGATTCATACATAAATAATAAAAAACATCAATATTTGAGATATTGTCATTTCAATAACGATGGTCAAATTATTGTCAACTTCGATCAACTCATATATTTTCCAGTAAATAAACGTGAAATATTAAATATAAAAATTTATTTTATTGATAAGTACTTTAATAAAATATATTTCGAAAATGGGTCAACTATATGTGTGTTAAATTTACGAAAAATAAACAATATGGAAATGCCTAATAATTATCAAGAGTTTCCAATTGTGTTATCAAACACAACACACAAATCTAAAAATGGTGAATTTGAAGTAATTTTTCAAAAAGCAATACCTTTACATCAACCTATGGAATTATCACTATTAGAAATTAATATACCAAATATTGTGTATACTAATAAATTTTTGTCATCTAAATTTGTCAATCTCAATGTTGTCTTTATGC